CACTTTTTTACACGTTCATACTGGCGCAGATGGTGTTCTTGTGGCCAAAATTTATCGATACCACCTAATTGCTGCCATGTCTTCCATATATATATATATATATATATATATATATATGTGTGTGTGTGTGTGTGTGTGTGTGTGTGTGTGTGTGTGTGTGTGTGTGTGTGTGTGTGTGTGTGTGTGTGTGTGCGTGTGTGTGTGTGTGTGTGTTACACAGACGATACCAGGCTGATACAGCCCGGTGGTTCAGTGGCGAGTCCTATGCAGACACTGGTCTTCGCCAAAATCATCCTTCTGAATTTCAATGGTTCACTGAGAACCACCGCGCACTAAGCAGGGTTTTGAACTTTGGGGCCCATATTGCACGCAATACCGTGTTCCGAAGCCGAGTGGATCCATGCTGCGCGAACTAGGATGACACAAATTGACGACCTTATAATGTTAACGCGATATGATAGCCATGCGTAATATCCCATCAGCCACCCACGCGCCGGAGATGCTTTGAGAGCGCACGGCACGCCGCTCTAGCGTGCCCGCCCGTGCCACTCGAGCAACGGCCGTTGAGCTGCTGCAATTGCCGCCTGTCTGGGCTGTGTTGTCTTAAGTGGTTTCACGCTTCGCGTACCTAGCGAACAAAACTTGACGCCTGCAGACGTATGAGTGTCAGCAGCCGCATTCAACGCGATCTTCGACGCTATCTTTACCTCCTATATTTGTCAAGCTGAATGAATTTTGTGCAGGTGCGCCGGTTTCATCTTTGTTGTTTGCTTTTTCTGTGGTTTTTGTACGTTCATGGACATGGAAGCTCCAACATTCACTTTGTGGAAGGTTCTAAATCCACATCTATCTACGTGTCACGTCCAGATTGAGCGAGTTGGTCGGTGTTGTTCCTTTTCCTGGTTCGGGGTGATGGACGAACAGCGTATTCCCAGAACTGCGGCCATCGCGTGGCTCCTTGTGAGCTCGACAGCTTCACATGGTGAATACGGGGTTAATTGAGTTTGGTAAGTGAACAGAGATTTGAGTGGAAGAGGCTGCAGACCTGTAAAGGTCATAGGAGAAGCGCCTCTTTAGCCATGCCAGCTACAGTTAATTGCACTCCCATGGCCCAACTGCCCGCCTTTCTGACGAGTTTTCACATGGGTATTCTGCGCACTTCGTGTTTTTCCACTCAGGCCCCACGTGAATAATTTGATGTGATGAATGTGCCATTACAGGTTGGCCAGGTGCCCTGGTCACGTACGGTAAAATAAGTTATTGCCTGGGCTCTCATCCAATAGCTGCTTTGCGTGTGACATGCGTGCATATGCATCACAGGTATATATGACATCGTTTACCTACGTGATCGTCTCGGTCCAGAAGTCCGCGTGTTTGTATTATGGGATCGGTTGGAAAAGTTGTGCGGGTGGTGGTTGATATAAAACACGTTTGAATGCACAGCTTGCCCTGAGGACTATCGCAGAAATCAACAGGCTTCTAAACAGGCTTGAAAATACACAAATCCGATAACAGTTTCCCCTGTTGACTTTCCACTGCACTGAGCAATTTTGGACATTTTATGGCCTAAATTACTGCTTTGGTTATTCACTCCATAATATATTACGGCAACTCTAGCAGGATAACATGAAACAATTCTACAGTAATAACTACCTTCATCATATGCCCTCTGGCCACGTGTGGTGATGTTGATGATGTAAAAGCATTTGTTGGTGGTCCAAATGGTGACTTCAGCGGCCGTGACCACAGGGTACAATGCTCGGGCAGCGTTACGGTCGCCGATGGGACGTTGCATGCTACCAAGCAGCTTTGTCGCCTGCGAAGCGCCATTAGAATTCTTTACCCTTGAGGCATTGACCGTCCCACGTGGCGCCCCGCGGCGGCTGACCGTATGACCTGGATTGGAACGAGCGCTCCCTGCAGCCAAGCTGCGCAGAAGAATGCGAACTGGCAGAAAATGTGACGTAACCGCATCATGAACGTGCCACCGAACGAAAAGTCCCGAATAACAGCTAAAACAAGCACACGGATTCCAACAAAATGGCGTGACACGCTGATATCGACTAGCAACGGATGCGGCGAAAAATGATGCGTCCTGGTTAGCTCTGTTTCATCGTCCGGACCAGGCTAGGCAAGTTTGATAATGATAATTAATGTGGCAATAAGCTATAATGGCGGGTATGATAATGGTTCATAAAAGCCTGTTCATTAAAGTGATACAATATCCGGACAGGACCTTAGCATGCATTTGTTCACGTAGAGGAGTGCCTTAAAATTGCCTAACGCTGCTTGCGTGTCCCCACACATCGCTCTGACAGCGTTGCAACACTTGAGCCTATCTAGCGTGACATGTCAGTTGACGCTCACAGTGCCGACCCAGATTCGATCCGATCACACAGCCCTCTGAGTTTGTGCGGAGTAGAGGGCTAATAGGCCTGCTGTTATGAAATTTGAGCCATTTATGCAAAAATGCGTTCCTCTCTTTAGCATTTTGTCCTTCGTATATTTTACTTAATCCACCATCTTAACATCTACGTGTTCTTTACAACGCTGGGGTAACAGCTGCGATACCCCAAGCATTTAGTTACCCTTAAAAAAGAGCAAAGCTTGCGGCGTCCACGCCTAGCTGCAGTGCGATCTATTTCATGTGAACATTCAAACACTGGGCAGATCCCGGGCTTAATACATACAGGTGGCTGGCCTCGGCGGTATCATCGAATCGTTTTACGACTAGTTTGTGCTTACCACTGAAAACAGCGACACGTGATTTGTCGCCCAAGGCACAAAATGCCTCCATAAACCGTACATGGAGACCAAGCCAGCGTAAGAGGAGGTTAGACAACATGGTAGCTCACAACGTGTACATCCTGAACCTTTTGTGCTACATCAAAAGCTGAACGTAATTCATGAAAGTAGGAGGTGAGAGAACGACGGGCTTCCCGTCTTTCGCTTACGTTGGACAATAATCCTATGATGATGTAGAAAAGGAATCGACTTAAAAAAAGACTAAGCTCTCCCATTTTTGGGACGTTTCTATACCACTGATCTCATATTTACAATGTACATGACCATTGAGGAAGCAAGTCTGAGGTAACTATGTTTGCTAAAAGATGGACGAAATGAGCACACCTAATGTGCAAAAACCTCGCACCCTTTTGTTACCCACCGCTATTCACTCTTGGTCACAAGAGCACTGGGGTTTCAAGTAGTTATCAGAACTGAGTATCAACATAACAAGAGTTAGGTGCATAAAGGTTGGTAAAAAATTACTTGTTAAGCGAAAAACGTGACGGGTGTGGATAATTAAGCTACAACTGCACAGTTTCAAGGGGCTGGCAAGCAAGCAACAAGCAACGATCAACATTCCATTTACGTCCTGGTACATAAGCCGCATCAGAATTCCCTTTTCGTGATGCGGTCGCTATTCCATTCCAGTCTTTTCAGCTTATTTTGGGATTTCAACTCTAATGCAGGTTGCTTCCAGTTAACGTTTGCAGGTGAGAAGAACCACTTACCGCTTGTGCTCGTGTCCAAATTGAACAACAGGATAGTCAGAGCGCAAGCCTCGGAGACGCATCAATGGTTTCAATCGCAGCTCGGTTACCTCAATCCTGGCTGCTTCAATCTTTTCTCCAGTATCATTCTGAACAGAAGTTAGATCCTTTCCACAGTTACATAAACCTGAGCATTGGCCTCTGTATGCTGACTAGTGAGTGTATTCATGGTCGTCGTCCAGCTACAAAACGTTCGAGTACCGACCTGTTTCATATTCCGGTAAGCAGCTCGCGGTCTTTTCTTGCGAATGATGATCTAGTTGAGCATACTTGAAGGCTCTTCCAGTATATAAGTGTCAATGAGAACCTTGACGTTCGAACCAAAACATTCGAGTACCGACCTGTTTCATATTCCGGTAAGCAGCTCGCGGTCTTTTCTTGCGAATGATGATCTAGTTGAGCATACTTGAAGGCTCTTCCAGTATATAAGTGTCGATGAGAACCTTTTCAGTTCAGGTCATGTCAGCGTCAGCCCAGACAAACCGTAACCACAATTAGGTAGTTGGCGTTGACAGAGTTGGCGAATCGTGTTTCGACCAATTTGCATTAACCCCTAAAAATAGCGTCAAGAGGTTGTCCGTTAACCAGCGTTGTTCACCCGTGATGATCCCAACTTCGCTCCATTGGGCCCAAATGCCCCAAAGAAGAGCATGGCAAATCTCAGTCATACGATTTGAGGTTGCTGCAGTGAAACACATTTTCTTGATTGGCGGCCTGCTTTCCGATTTGCAGTAGAGCTACTGCGCTTCCAGCTAAACACTTGACGACGGGAACGAAGACTGAAGGGAGCTCCGACAAACAGTTGGGATGGATTATTCTCCTGGAAAATTATACTAACTTATCAAACGCAATTTTGTCGCGGCTGCTGTTATGAGGGGCGAACTTAAGGCGCTCTTGATGTATACAAAACGATGGGTTGTCGGAAAAGCTTGAAACCATACCCACGGTGTGAACTTCGACAGCAATTCGCCAAGGCAATGAGAACGTTAGGCACGGTTTCCTGACTTCCATCGTTGCTGTCTTTCCTGCACGGGACATGCTAGATGTTTTGCATGCCCTATGACACCTGCTGGCAAAGTAATCCACTTAACTAAATCCCTTCGGTCAACGATGACTGATTCCACACGGATACGGCCGCTGGAGCGGTTTATTATCGCGCCACCGTCAGCTGTCAGTGGCCGTTCCGGCGCGCCTCCGAAGCGCGCGCACTCGCTGGCGGCGGCCGTGGCGGTCGTCGTCGCCCACATATCGACTGACTGCGCGACCGGGCGCCGTGTTGTGGCTCCGTCCAGGTGATGGGATCGATGGCACCGGCGGCGGCTCCACCACGAGCCAGTCATCGTGGCGACCCGTCGCTGACCGCCCGTGCGTGACGGCACCGGGCCGCGCCGACGGCGAACGGAGCGTCCAGCGCCGCCTGGTCGGCCGCACTGCCGGCTCGCCGACATGAAGGGTTTCGTGGTCGACGTGGACGAGGGACCGCCGCACAGCCGGCCGCCGTCCTTCGCCGAGTGCTACGTCTGCAAGAAGCAGTTCGGCTCGCACTCCATCGCGCTGCACGAGCCGCGCTGCCTGGAGCGTTGGCGTGCGGCGAACAGCGCACTGCCGACCGCCAAGCGCGCCGCCACGCCGGTTCGGCTGGACTCGCTGGGCCCGCGCGCGCCGGCCGTCGCATCGCTGACGTCCTCGTGGCCGTCCAGCAGCGGCCAGATGCGGGCGGCGGTGGCGGCTGGGCCGGGCAAGGGGCGCGCCGAGCGGCCGCGCACCACCACCCTCAGCCGGCCTAAGGTGCTCGACGCGGACAAGTGCACCGAGGTCGACATGTCGACGCGGCGCTGCAGCGAGCTGCTGGCGCTCGCCTCGCTGTCGAGCCGCAGCGGCGGCGAGTCGAGCTCGTCGCCCGACTCGGAGCAGGCGGAGCGGTCCGGACGGCGCGCTCGGCCCGGCACCATGCGGCTGGCGGTCGGACCGCGCGACCTCAACGTGCCCAACATCGAGTACCGCGCACGGACGGCCGTACTCTCGCCAGAGCGGAGCCGGCTGAGGCGCGCTAGCGACAACAGCCGCTCGTCGCCGGCGCGACCGCCGCACGGCGCGCGCCTGCCCTCACCGTGTGTCTCGTGCGGCAAATCGGAAAACCCGGAGCGGTTCCACAGCCACCCGGAGGAGGCGTCGCGCTCACCGGCTCGCGCGCGCCGCCTCGTCAAGAAGCGGCTCTCGATCCAGCGTCCGACGCCGGTGCGATACAAGCCGCAGCCGTCGCTGGACCCAGTAGCGCAGCGCAAGCAGCAGCAGCGTCAAGAGAAGCGGCGCAAGGAGGCGCGCCTACAAGAGGACGAGGTGCAGCAGGAGCGCCGGCGGGAGGCGCTGCAGCACAACCTGGCACTGACGCTGGCCCGGTACCAGAGGCCGGCGCTCGGTCCCACCTTCATTGTGTGCTACGTCTGTGGCCGCCAGTTTGGCCCCACATCCATGCCCATCCACCAGCCGCAGTGTCTCGAGGTGAGATGTTCGCTGCTTCCAGCCGATCAGACATGGCCGTTCCAGGCAGGGTCAGGACCCCGAGCGCAGGCTGGGCCGGCGCAGGATGGACGAATAGAAAGACGGAAACGCACGTTCCCGCGACGTTTTGCATTGTGTTACTTCGGGCATAAGCGGCGAGCATCATTCTGCCAAGGAGGACCAGACGTGCTCTATCTGATGATGTGCCGTCCGTCATATGGGGCACAGAGCATAGGATGTGTCGAGTGAACCGCAGCGGAGTCAGAACGCCTTGAGAATGCAGCTTTAGCCTCTTGGAAGTCATACATAACTGTATGTAGTATGTGCGTCTTCCCACCCCGCACCAAAATCCTCTGCCCTGGTCCGTTTTATGTGGTCGTCAGCCACACCAACCTCCGCGGGCTAATGGCCGCGCTGTATCCGACACGGCCGGGACGTTCCGCAGCCAGATCTGGGGATAAGCTATCGACTCGGTAAAATTGTGCCCAGTTGATTTACGAACGAAATAGCCCCGGCATCATCTCCGATTGCAATGAGCGAGGAACCCATGCCAGGATGCGCAGAATCATCTAAATTATGTGTACGTTGACGGCGTACATGGTCGTAAGAACGGAGTTCTGAAGAAAAGTGGTCGAGTGCCAAAAGCACGCGTTCAACATAAGTTTTGAGTAATTTTTTGACGTTACTCGCTGTTTTAACATTACCTAACAGGTCGACACTGCCCAATGCCCATGTGCGCATCCGAAAAGCGAGTCACACGAAAGGAGAAAATCAATTGCCAGTGACGCATGGCAGTTTTTGTGTGCCGACAGCAAAAAATAAGCGCGGCGGGCTGAATGTTCGCACGTCACAGCTAGCTGTACAGCCCTGTCCGAGAACTACCAGCCATTCACCGAACACCTACACCAAACACCGAGTGCTGAATTCCCCGAACCAGCTGGCTGCTTCGTGTGCTGTTGGTATATTTATGACCACATACCTCAGCAAGAGTCATTGGGACGCTTTGAAAACATCATTACGGCCGCGCGGAGACGGCGCGTCGTGTTTAGGCCACTGTGTTATACACTAGCCTGCATCGATCCATGGCCGTGCAGAGGCGTGCAACCGCGATGGCTATAGCTATCGACAGACCTGCACAGAGGCTACGCGGGTAGCTGCTCGGGCACGGCTGGCCGCAGTCAATGCGTCCGGAAAGGAGCACAGCCGTGCTTGCCATGGTGAATAATAGCTGAGCCGGGGACGCGCAGCGGTGCACGAGGTTGGCGATCGATGATAATCGGCACCGGCGGCAGAACGGCCCATCCGAACCGGCTGCGACGGTTCGATCAAAGTTCCGCCACCGTGACGTAGCACGCGCCACGCGCCATGCCGCGTTCATTAGCCAAGACGCGTGCCTGAATCACAAAACTGTCCGAAGGATTTAGACTCTTTCTGCAGTCATGGACTGGTGCCGCAATATCCGAGACGGACCATGGCATCATGGCTGATGTGGCTCATGTCTGACGCTTGTCACGCAGTCCCGCCGCTTTGCTGTCGCACTGTAACGCGGCCGGGATCGATAGTCGATCACCGGCTTATTTCCGTCCCGCCGGCGTCGGGCCGGTGGTAACTGAGGCGCGCGCTCTGCCCGGCAGCGGTGGTACAAGTCGACAGCGGCGCTACCCCGGCGAAAGCAGGGCCCGGCGCCACAGCCACCCGACGAGCTGCCCGAGGGCGCCACCCTAGAGGAGTACAACCAGCTGGCCACCGACGAGGCGCAGGGTAACGGCGGCGGGGGGGGGGGGGGGGGGGGCAGGGCGGCTGTCGGGTTGTGTGCCGGGGTGTGGCGTTACCGATGTGCTGCGAGTGGTGGCGATGTCCAGAGGGAAGCGTTAGACATTTAGCCGAGATTTGATACGATGGGGGCGCCGTTTTTTCTATGAGAGCGATGACTGGGCGACGCGAAGAAACGCTATTTGATTCCAGCCATCCAAGCATAACGACGGTTCGTTGAGAAGGTTGTGAAATTCAATCACACCTAAGCGCACTTTCCGAGATTTGCATCCTGCCAGAATCCAAATGCATGCCTCAACCCTCAAATTTACTGGGGGATTTTTTCTGCTTTTATTGGCGTTGCTGGCATGCCCCATGGCTGCAATACCGATAACGTTGCTAATTTTGTCATAATATTTAATACATCATGTGTCATTTCACCTTACCAATATTATCAGCTGCTGGCATTTAAAGCCAACGTGTCCAGGTTCCGATAACTGTAATTGATCTGTGTAACAAGGACAAAAATTCTGATAAGTTTGTAATATTTATAGCTCATGCTTCAACAGCTGTTAGCGGAAATAACTCGCCGTTAGACCCAACAGAACACAGGTGTTTTGGACCGACAGGTGGTTATGGGCGAATGCATGAGCTGCAGGTAGTAGGCGAATACCGTATGCGATTGGAGCCTTTTGGAGGAATGCCAGTGACGATAAGGGATGAAGTATGACTGCGCTGTTAAAGAGACAATACATTTTTTCAACTGTAGATAATGTTGTGTAGAATCTCACATCTTAGCGGATGGGTATAAAGCATGGCCATTAACGTGGATACATTCGCCAAGGAAAGCCGTGTGAATAGAATGGCTTAGAAATGTCAATAAAACGCAACGTATAACGTGGGCTCTCCACCTGAAATGCGCTGATAAAAACAAACAGTCAGAGCCACCGAGCGCTCACCTGTTGAAAGGTGTAACAATCGATGACCGTTGTGCATTCCTAACGCTTCAAGCAAAGCGTGACCGGTTAGCGCCCGTCCGCGTGACCGGTTGGCACCCGCCTGCGTGACCGGTTGGCACACGTCTGCGTGACCGGTGAGCACCCGCCTGCATGACCGATTAGCACCCGTCCGCGTGACCGGTTAGCACCCGTCTGCGTGACCGGTTAGCACCCGTCTGCGGGACCGGTAAGCACCCGTCTGCGTGGCCGGTTATCACCCGTCTGCGGGACCGGTCAGCACCCGTCTGTGTTACGTCGGCACGCGCACAGGTACGCGTTTGAAGCTTTCGTCGCTGCGGTACCTCCAGGAGGTACTAAGTTATCAATGGTGGTGCTGAATCGGTGCCAGACAAATTTTGACTAATTCGCGTCTCGCGTCGGATGTCGCACATCCGTCTACGGCTCAACTCAGCGGCGTCGGCACCGTTTCTAAGTCACCGCAGAGTAGAATCGGTACGTACCGACACCAGGGCTTAGTTTTATTGAGCGGAGCTACAAATGTACACACATTGGGATCGTACGGTGCAAGCTCACGTGCCGTGAAAAGTCACTGTTATTTCAGCGACATCTTTTTCGTGAGTCATTCGTGGATCTGACGGCTCGCGGGAGCTCCGTTGCCTTTGATGTCTGCGCCCATTCGGGGTTATTTCGACTTTCCTCGGTTCGTAAATTTGCCTGCTAAGATTCGCTCCAGTTCTTTCATCTCTAGTATACGCTAGGCAGCTAAACCTAGACGTACTTATTGAAAGCACCAGGACAGGGCGCTGGAACGGTGGCCATAACCATCTTAGCATATTGTTTCCACGCGTCATGGAGCATAACAATTCTCAGCGTCGAAAATATAAAATACGAATACGAAGAAAATATCCAACATACCATCCTGCACACACTAGAATTCCGTTTCCTCCAACAGAGGACAAAACCAAGCAGCATCAGGGCTGTCATGCACTGAGAGAAGTGTCATGCATGAAGTGCAAGCATCGTTTACCCCGATGGCATGCATGAAGATAGTCTTGTGGTCCAAAACGCGAGAACTTGTGTGCAGTCTTAATTGGATTGAAGTACTGCAGTCTGATTATGAGTTGGATTTGTGTGAATAGTTAACGGCATTGCATCGTCTCATTTACGCCACGCAAGCCATTTGTTACCAAAGGGTAATATAATCCTTTAACAGCTGTGACGGTAGCGAAAGAAACGTCAAGGCGTCCCCCGTGTCTATTCGACACACCTTGCAAAGAGCGCGGGCGCATTATGGAATGCACATGGCCTGCTCTATGACTGCTCTTCCGTCGCTCCCACGTCGTGCAAACCCAACGATTCAGCTCGTGCCAGCAATGCCTCCGGAGGACTCCGCAGGCCGCTGGCTCTTTGGACGCGACCCCGTTGTTGAAATGGCCGACGCCCGCCGGCCGTGTCATTTGACCGAGTGATGGACACCGTGTCGTTGGGCTGAGTGATGGACTCTGTGTCGTTGGGCCGAGTGATGGACACCGTGTCGTTTGGCCAGGTGATGGTCACCGTATAGTTTGGCCGAGTGATGGGCACCACGCCGTTGGGCCGATTGATGCCCACCGTGTCGTTGGGCCGAGTTCAGGACGCCGTGTCGTCTGACCGAGTGATGGTCACTGTGTCGGGGTCGGCGAATAGTGAGCGCCGGGTTCTGGGAAGCGCCGCGGGCGATCAGACCCCGTGGCGTATCGGCCGGCTATTCGACGCTCGATGGGCGCGCACAGCGGGGGCCCGTGGCCACGGACCCACCTGCCCCGCTCAGGGCACGTGTCGGGGCGTCTGGTCACGTGACCCGGGTCACAATCGGCGTACGACCGCGGCTGTAACGCGAGCGGACGCAACGCGCCAGAGACACCGACTCAGGTGCGGTCTGCCCTTATGGCACAAAACATTGCCCTGAAGTCACGGAACAAGTAAATAGCACGGACTCGGCTTCAGTAAATCGATACAGGTGGTTTTCGGGTCTAAATTTTGCCGAATAGCAGCTTTGCCAAGCAGGCAATCCCAGATTTACGTGGGTATTTCTGATCACAGCCAATCGAGCCAAATTAGTTCCCAATGTAGGGATCCATGTAGGGATCATTTCTTGTTGTAATCCATGTAGGGATCAGGAACCTTACTAAACGTTCAACTTTTAATCCAAACGGATATTTCCGACAATAGATAACAAAGCCCAATTAGCTCGCAAACATTAAATGATTAGGGCCTGGTCCAGAAAAAAAACTTTATATTCTTTTGGAGATCAGACCCAGTAAACCAAGCGGTTTAAATGCGGCAGGCCACGACAACTGTCAATATAGCCGGCAACTTGTCCAATCTAAATCAAGTAAGCATAGTGTTAACAAAATCAAATGTGTTCACTCGAGATGGTTTAGAATCTATGGATGTGGGTCACGCCTAAGCTTTTATCCGCCCTCATTGCCGCCAAATAGTAAACTGGATTTCTTCATTTGTATCTACTTGTCTAAACTTACATAGCTTTCACTTAACACAGATGCATCTTTTTGAGCAGCAGAGTTTGGGTAAAATGTAGCATAGGCGTAGGAAGGTTTCAAAAAGTGGGGGGAGGGAAGCTCAGGGCGTGCTTCAGGAACTTTTTCTGGAAAGCAAGTCCGATGACCGGGGAGGGGAGGGGATGGAGATGGAGGTCCTTATCTCTCTTTATTCAAATGTCATGGCTGTTTTGCTAAATATGGACCTAACGCTATTTCTCACTGGTGTAGAACCTTGCTTGTTCGACCCACCTATGTCATTCGGCAAATAGACTGTCCAGCTTCCCAGAACTATTTGTCCCTTTCAACATTGTCTTTCCCGGGGAGGCGAAATTCCAAGCGCGGGTGAACATTTTGGGTCATTGAGAAGGCATCTGCCTACACAGGGTAAGGCCAAAATATGGCCTGGACGTATGTGGGTGAGAATTTTGAAAGCGAATCGATGGCTCACAGTGCGGTAAGTTTTTATGTGTCTTCATTTCGCTGGCTGAGTTTCAATAGATAAGACTTGTCGCAGCATTTTAGACAGAAACAAATTCGGAGGCTTGAAACCGCCAATAACAGTGTGACCAAAACCAAACAACTGGAAATTCTCCTTTTCAAAACCAAGCCACAAAATGAAGGCCCTTCTGTCAAACCTTCCGTGCCTGGGCCCTGCTACCGTCCGCCCGCCGTTGACGGCCACTGCTCTGGGCCGGCTGTCTCCCGCATGACTGACTGCGAACTGATCGTATGGTTGCTTTGTTGCATATTTTTGGATCGGCATTACTACTAACTGGTCTGTAAAGCATATGTTAGACGCCTGCAGCAGCATCTTGTTCCGAATTATTTTTTTACACCACACCATCGCAGAAAAAAAACTCCGGGATGCTGCCTGCCTTAGATATGAATTGGTCCAACATACATTTATTGCCCATCATTCAACGCAGACGACTTGATATGCTTTTGTGTGCAGGCAGTGGCGTAGCCAGAGCTTGCCAAGGAGGAAAACGGTGTTGAAAAAGCCCTCTTGTGTTGACCTCCCCCCTAAAAATTCCGGATATAGCTTACTTGTTAACAAGGGAAACGGTTTTCTTCGTTTTATGCTATTTTTACTTTGCAACCAGAACAGAAAGCAAACTGCCGTGGTATCAATTCTGTTCGGATTTTGAAGTCAATAAAGTGCAAAAATCAGGCGTTGAAAGCTCGAATGAAATAACTCACCGGCGCCCTTCATTTACAATGGCTTAGTGGACTCTTTCTAAATCGACAAAATTCAGAGCTTTTCTTCATGTTTTATCTGGGCTCTACAGAAAATAAGGACATCGCGAAGGTAGATTGTAGATCGACAGTTTTAGCCAATGCTTATCGGTGGACGAAAAATGATGACGCTTCTGAAATAATTGCCTTAAGACACTTAAATCGAGTAGTAACTGCAAGTTATATGACATAATTTTGAGCATGTGCACGCGCAAATCTTGGCGAAAAAACCGACGTCAGACGTTGCAGTCTCCCTAGGACGCGCAGCAACTGCCCAACAGCTAATATTAAGCCGTGGACGACGGGCGTTCGAAAAGGATGACGCTTCCGAAAGAAGTACCTTTGAACGCTTCAGGACATCAAATCTTACATTTAGAAGACAGTCTGGGCGCATATTTCACGTGCGCGATTTTCAGACTGATGATAAGAACAGATTGGCCCTTAAAGCATAACAAACCGATGCCGGAATCTGGTGGTGGAATTGGAAGAGTAATGATAGAATCTCTATTTTTCGTGCTTCTGTAACTATAAATCTGCCCAGAAGACAGATAACTACGGCGTCCGCCGTCTGCTGACAGTTGCTGTGGCCGACGCCGTTCGGTTTTACGGAAGCTGTAACTCAGGTCAGCGCTGTCCTTGTGCTCGAGGTTTCGGGCGGGCATGTTCAAACATGTCGATGCAACTTATTTTACTAATCCATCCTGAAAAAATGAACGTTCTCAGGCAAACATGGGATCGCATTGTTTTTTTTAAAACTCATTTCAACCCACTCTGTTCAATAATAATGAGACCACCACTCTACTCAACCATACTGAGATTCCTAATTTCGTTCCAGGCAAGGGCCCATTGAGAAGAACACCAGGGGCACATTAACGTTTGGGGTCAAGGGTTGAAGAGCCATTACGTCTCATCGCCAAGTGCCTTCTGGCTGTCATTCTGGCTACAGGCCCGGGATTTCCTGGTCGATCCGGAGGTCATTAGAAATATATATCATCAAATTGTTCCCCTTCCACGGGAGGCCATCTGACCCGCGCAGTTGGCCCTGGATGAGTACAGAAACCCCCACTGACACAACAGCATCCCTGATCGCCGCAGGTGGTCCAATAATCGTCACATGGACTCCGGCTTCCGTGTTTGTTGTGTTCTTCAGAGATATTGAGGACTCCTAAAGCGCAGATTGTGGATGAAATGGGGTCCCAAACTTGTATTAGCATGGCTAATGCATGTTTGTCTTAAAATGTTCAAGATTTATTCAGAATTGATTACATAGATAAGACAGTAGTATTAGCCTTACTCCTCGGAGAAAAACCAGAAGAATGAAGATATAGTTGGGTTGACATTTCGGCAACATGCCTTTATCAAAGCAATAGCTGAAGTGGACTCCCTTCTGTCCTCACTTCGGTCATTTGTTTCGATAAAGGCATGTTCCCGAAATATCAACCCAACTATATCTCCATTCTTTTGGTTTCTCTCCGAGGAACAAGGCTAATTCTATTGTCTTATATATGTGAATAATGTTCCTCGCTAATGCACTGAATCAACGTACAGCATTGGTGACTGACAAACACTTTGTAACATGATTGGAACATGCGCGCTCGCAAGTCATAGCAACAGCAGCCTCGATACCCAGCGTTGCAGTCTCCAGTGGGCCGCGCGATCTTGGTCTTGCGATTGTAACACCAAGTGGTGACCAGTTAACAACCTCAAAAAGATAATGCATCTTGAGGAAGATGGCGGGTGAACTGGGTAAATTGGCATATATTTTAAATTTAGTGCAAAAGTGAGCCAAACACAGCCTTGCTCTGAAAAGTGCGGGGGGGGGGGGGGGAGGAGGTACAGTTAATACTGCTGGTCCCCTGACCTCCCTGTTCCTACACCCATGAAATGTAGAGAGGTCCTCTCGAGGTCTTCCTAACTGGCCACTAACCCACCGCCTGTTGTACGTTTCAGAGGGTGAAGGGTGAGAAGAGACGGGCCTCCGTGGCAAATCCCACCGAGTCGGACAAGGCCAAGTCGGAAGAGAGCTTGTTTTTCATACAGTTTTAGGTGAATGACTGTGCTAGTCAGTACTTATGCTGGCAATCGGGAGTGTAAATACATGCATAATGCGTACATAACCATGCTTTTGGAGTTGTCCCTGCTGTGCTGCTCGGCGGTGGGAAAACCGATCAAGCACCAGGGTATCATTAATATCACGCGACCTGCAGCCAGTGGCAACTGAAACTGTGTCAGGAGCCAAAAACACAAAAGAAGAAAAAAGGAATGATAACTCAGAAAAATGAGTGATCATCGACACTATTCGTCGTGAATAGCTTTCAAACAAACAGGCACCAAGGGATCTAGCAGAAATCCTACGCCCTGCGTACAAACCGTGCGACGTACAACAATCCTTTGACGGTGCTAAAATGAGCACAGTTAAAAGATGCTCGCATCACGAAGCAAACCGTTGTTTTTGTTATAGTTTCAAGTATAAAAGAAGGACACCCAAACAGTCGCCCATGGCTGCCGCTAGGCACTAGGTAGACAGCTGTATGGGAATGACACAAGAACGGTGACCTGCATTTTTTACTGGCTTAACGGATCGAATGCAAAATTATCCACCTGGCTGGAGGCAATCTTGAGTTGTTGGACATAGACGCACTTATCAACCTAATGAGGTTGAGCTTATAGCGAAACGTGAGATTATCACGAAAAGTGTGTTTAAAGGAAGTGTTCCACTTTTATATCGGGTTTTGAACTGAAATCGATATTTTGAAGACCTTTCAGTGCTGTTCACACGCCTCAGCTTCCTAAGGCCTAAGCCCCTCTAGTTTCTGAGCCACACGCCCACGAAAATTGGGGAAGGTATATCGGGGAGGGTACTTGAAAGTCACCGCGGAATTCATGACGTCATGATAACGTCATTGAAACCTTGCCATTCCATAAGCCATGCAGTAGTGCAGGCCAAGAATAATATAATTGTTGAGGCGTTCATATCTGGCGTTCGCGAGTGCGATCTCGAGATATAACGGCCGTCAGTTGACTCTGAATCAATGTGCAAGGTACGACGACGCAATCAAACCATCACGCATTGAGAAGCATGTTTACTAAATGGAGAATTGTGCTGTCTGGAGCAGTATTTCTACTTAAGAATCATTCCAATGGTTATACGTGGGCTTGTGCCATCATACCTGATGCTTGCTTCAACATCTTCAAATGTGAAACATTGCCTTCGAGATGTTTACTTTGTTATTATTTAGGTAAGTCAAGTACTTAGGTACGTTAACGTAAGGCATCCTTAGGAATGCCTTACCACCACGGTCCAAAAAAATTACATTGGAAATGTTTCATTTCTGCCTGCCCGGAACGCCTCGGCAGCATTGCATTGATGACTATTTCTGTCTGTCCGGTAGGGTTTTACACTGAAGACACTCTGTTTCTGCCTGTCCGGTACACCTCAGTAGGATTACAATGCAATGCAGAGGCTTTACTTCTGTCTGTTCGGTACGGCTCAGCGGAACTACATTGGAGATGCTCCGTTTCTGTCTGTCCGGTAGGGTTTTACATTGAAGACGCTCTATTTCTGTCTGTCCGGTGCACCTCAGTAGGATTACATTGCAATGAAGAGACTCTACTTCTGTCTGTCCTGTACAGCTCAGCGAGATTACATTGGAGATGCTCTGTTTCTGTATGTCCTGTGCAGCTTAGCAGTACTACATTTGAGACGTTCTATTTCCGTCTGTTTTGTACGGCTCAGCTAGATTGCATTGAAGATGCTCTGCTTCTGTCTGTCCGGCATGGTTCAGCGGAATTGCATTCAATACGCTCTATTTCTGCCTGTCCGGCACACCTCAGCAGCATAGTATTACATTCAAGACGGTCTTCTTCCGTCTGTCTGGAGCGGCTCAGCGGAATTTATTGATGACGCTCTATTTCCGCCCGCACGGGACGCCTCAGCAGGATTCAGTTGCGTGCTGGCAACCGGCCAAGCCAGTTTGGTTTCCGCCGAATGTGACGCAGGTCGATCCAGCGGCCGTTTTCTCATTTAGGCGCTGCGTGCTGCGGTTCCTGCAGCCGTCCCGGCCCGTGCCTGTCACTGGGCTCGCTCCGGCTCGCTCCAAGACACGGCACGCCCTCAGCACCGGAGTCGGACACCCCCCTCCCCCCGTGGCATAGCGGCACGAGAGACATTCGGCCCCGTGCACCCTGCTACGCTCTGTAGAGTGTGGCGGCAGCCTACGCGCTGCTTGCTGGCGCAGTGGGTGGTTCGGACCAATCAGATGCAAGGTTGGATGTCCAGGAAGTGAGATGCTGTGAGCTTCACGGTGATCCTATTGTCCGCGTTTTTGCCGCTGGTGCACGCTGAGCATTCTGTCTTCAATAGCAGATTTGACCCTCTGCCTGGATACAGGACTTTGTTGGATGGTGCTGATGGTGACCGCGCTTTTTTGGCAAGATTGGGTCGTGCTCATCCCCCAGCTCATGTCACAAAACAGCGCGCCCAAAAATCCTATTCCTACAAGTTTTTCGGATACTTTTCAAATTTGACATAGATTTTGACATTGATTCAAACACAATTGTATCTAAAAAGCAGCAAACTTGTGTTTCATGGTTCAGATAAAACTTGTGTCACCAAATGCTAAGTTCCATAATGTTACCCAACAACAGCCAGAGACCTTACAGGGCACAACGGCAAATGTGCATCTGGCACCAGGTGCAGACGTGGGACATGAAGCAAGGCAACATCTTTGTTTCACCCATGGGTATCGTAGTCAGTATGAACTCAAACAATGCGTCCTACGTCCGGGACGCCAAGAGTAAGAAACGAAAGGTCCAGTCTGTTGAACACAGATTGGTGCCTCAGCACCAACTGCCGACTTTCTCTTGGGTCAAAGGTCAGCGTTTTGCACTTGCTGGACTGATTGCGATATATATATATATATATATATATATATATATATATATATATATATATATATGAACCGCTACACCAAAACAGGGTAGGCAATAAATTGCGATGTAACCGGCCACTCGTCTGATGATATTTGCGTGCGTCAAACTATATCTTAACTGCTTTTAACTCACTGCTTGCTAGATGGCAGCTCGAACCGGTCGCTGCTGAAGTTCCAGGTGTTTGCGAGAAACCGTTGTAAAGATTTGTCGACCGTTGCAGTTTCGCAATGTACCGGAAGCTAGCACCTGGCTTCCATCACCAGCCGAAACACCGGCAGCGGCTCTGTAGCCATAGTTGTTCGTTTCTCCGTAAGAGTTATCAGTATTGGTAAATTTAGAGATTGCCATATTTGAACTAATGAGCTATGCATGTCAGGGTATGAATGCCCGAAAATTAGCAACCGTGATTGCAATATTTGGGTGAAGTGTACACAGACAAGGACGCCCCTTGGAATGCACTGTAAGCACTGGCTTAACGTACAGGCTATTTATTCGGAATAAATTAAGCTGGGGAGAGAGCTCATAGGCGCAAGCCATTCATCATGACACTCCTTGCCATGTTGGGCAACTTATCTAGTGACGCCACCGTCTCCCCATAAGACATCCAGCAGCGCCATTGCACAGCTCCTGTCTCCGATGAGGCAACCTCGATGTGTGCAGTCGAGGGTCACGCTCCCTCACGACGAAACCGCATCACACATCTGTATACCCTCACGACGAAACCGCTTCATACACCTGCACACCCTCACGACGAAACCGCTTCATACACCTGCATACCCTCACGACGTAACCGTTTCATACACCTGCACACCCTCACGACGAAACCGCTTCACACACCTGCATACCCTCGCGACGGAACCGTTTCATGCACCTGCATATGAGTCGGTTTCGCCAAAAACGGTCACCACCTTCAATACGTATGATATCTCTGCCTGGATCCACAAGTCCGGTTGGCCCTGGTTACGCACGCCAGGTCACTTGGTTCATTGTACGGGAGTCGTCACGTTTTCCCAACAATGTCCTGCGTAGCTTTAGCATCCCCATAACTTTGGTTTTTCTCTGCTCATCTTTGCCTGCTGCGGTTTGCAGCGGGGCTGGATAAATTTATCGAGCTAGGTGTGGGTACTGAGCGTTATGTGTATGCTCCCAGATGATGGGGCCAGAGGTTCAAGTTAAATGGACGCGATAATCATGCGATAATTGTGTATTTAGTTCGCTGCTCATATGTGAAACGAAGTCAGCTGGTGGTTAATATAGCCATGTGTATGATGCTATGCGTTTTTCAGCACAGCTTGGAAGTCCAGGACGAGCACGAAATTGCAGACAATGAAGAGGTTGACGAGATCATGAACGAACACCAGTCGAGATCATGAGCTCCGCATCCGTCCTTGACAATAAATGACAATTCTTAGTATCATCCTCAAGACTGATGATTCTCTGAGAGAGATGTGCTATCTCACATAAACTGCTTCTACAAACACCATTACATTGCCTGGCGATTGAGCTGCTGATAGGCGTGCGCCGCCCGCAGCGGCAAAATGGATTCGAAGGCACAACACGCGGAATTCTGTCGATGGGAGACCAGGCCGAAAACGATGAGCACTTCGTCTGCCCGTGAACGTCACGAGCCTTTAAAAACACTCAGGTCTTGTGGTGCCCAAGGAACAAGGCGAACGTGGGAGCAGCGCTCGCTGCCGTCAGTACAGAGTCATGTCGAACAGGTTTATGTGCATATAGTTCCTGTCACCTTTTATCATCGCTATCATCGTCATCATCATCATCGTCATCATCGTCATCGTCGTCATCGTCGTCATCATCGTCGTCGTCGTCATCGTCATCATCGTCATCATCTGTTGGAGCTGCAGCCCTCACCTCTCCCTTCTTGGCCTCACGCCTCCTTCGGTAACTGCTGCCACCTTGAACAGACCCTAAAAGCTTCAGGATGTTCATGATACCAGTCTCAAACCTGCGAAGCTCGGACGCAATTTCCTTCTTCCTTTGCACCACCTTAACTGTTATTGCGTTCAGGGCGCTTTCTATGCGCCTCGACAGTTTTACTAGATCCGGTCCTGTCGTGTCAATAGTTTCCACTTCAAAATTGTTCGCCACTTTTAGTGGTGGTTTTGGAGGTGACGGGATGTCCTCCACAATGGTTTCCTCCTTTGTCACTACTTCTTCCGAATCG